CCGACAAATGCAGACATTCTCATTTACACTCCAAATCTCACAAACCCTAATTCTCTACAAACGCCGTACATTCTCAGACATTGCCTACATTCTGCCGACATTTTGCGAAATTTTGGCGAGTTAAATCACGACATTTACGATTAGGCGTTGAATGATTTCAGTTCCGAATCTAGGTTCTATCAAAGAGAAAGTACAAACCAGTAAAGAACACGACTTAACCAGCGAAAGTCATCCGTTTTAAATGTCGGAAAATTCTCGCTGAAATGTCCGGAAACCTTCCGACATTTTGCAGACATTGTCCGACAAATGCAGACATTCTCGTACAACGCCGACATTCTCGTACAAACGCCGACATTTTCCGACATCGTGGTTTCAGAATTCCGACAATCACGACTAGAGTTCGGCCATATGACTTAGAAGGCTTCAATACAGTCATTTAAGACTTTTATCGTGGGTGTTCCAGGAAGCTCCGGGATGCCAGCAGGTACTAGTAACGCTGGCATCGTACATGTACCGGTACATGGAGCATGGTACTAGAGTCTAGTACCGCTACAGTGTACCTGGTACCGTCTACTGTGAATAGAAAGATGGAAGATATGAAAGAGAATGAGGAAAAGAAGTACTCTTGACCGTCGTTTAAAACATAGCATACGGTAGTGAGGGATAACAAGCAAACATGTACTGGAGTACTTACATAATATTATAGCCCTTTAGGCCTTTAGGACAGTGAGAAAAAGGGTTTTGTCTTCTGTACGGTAGAATGTTGCACTACTCTGGTAGTATAAGACACTTCAGACACCTCCCACCTTCCATCATCACCTAGCTGGTGCCAGTTCAGCTGCAAAGAACGTGAAGCTGGTACTCGCGTGTGACGTGGTCTCTGAGAGGGCTCAAAAGCGTCGCAGTCGATCGCGCAGAGGTTGATTAAATCGAGTTCGGGACTGCGTTTTTCTTCATTCGCGAATCAATCGCACACCATTCAATCAATTGATCAAAAAACTCTCTGTGGCCTCCACTCGAACAATGACAAGGAGGAGACCCATGTAGTTTATAGCCAGGCTGCTGAAAAGCAAAACATAGCTTTGGGAAAGTATCCTTTGTTCTAAAGAAGGCACCTGGCTGGAAGTGTTCAAACTGCGCTAGCTATTACAGTAAAGAAACTTCATATCGCATTACAGGGTTATCTGTAGCGGTATCACAAATATATCTATATACTTCATCCTCACAAGGCAAGTGGGATTCCTGGCAGAGGATAGATTTGAGCTCCGCCAGAGTTGAGAGCATTCAAACCGCCCCTTGGTACCAACAGTTCAACGTTTCTTGTATAGATTTCACCATGGTTGCCCACTGCTTGCACTGCATTGATAAACATTCTTGTGAAAAGGTGAAAAGGGGGCCAAATAGGTTGGTGGTAGGCATCTTCGATCCAGCAAGGTCCTTGGTGATTCCTTGCTCCTCAGCAAAAAAAGTGGAAGTGACTACCCAGTAAACGAAGTCCGTCCATTCAGGGTCATCTTGGTTGGTTACCAAAGCCAAGGGGTCCTTGGAAAAGCGATTGACTCCAATGGCATAGTCACCTGTGTAACCAACACTTTCTACGGAAGCTCGTGCAAGATCGTGGGATCCTCCAGCAACTGCATTGCATTCCCCGCTCACCAAGCCAGCCAGAGCTTCTTCTCCTGTGGGCTTGACCACAATGTTGTCTTCTGGGAACAGCTCTCTGGTCCGCGACACTGTGGTTGTTCCGTCATTGACGCAGATCTTCAAGTCAACGCAGATGCCAGTGGTGGTGTCCAATGCATCGGCGCATTCTGCAAAGCCCTGCAGGCCACCAAAGCTGAGCCCATCATAGAAGACAGGCTGCGAGAAACTGAATCCAGTCATACTTGTGGGCTCCTGGACATCGCGCTCAAAGGAATAGGTTGTGATACGAGACAAGACGTCGACTTTGCCATGGCTGGGCACGCCTCTCGGTGGCGGGTGAGGACATGATACACCACGTGGTGTACAAGCACCATCCGAAATCGCAGCGGACAGTGCCTTGCAGTAGTCCACATCGAAGCCTTCCCATTTCAGTTTCTCTGTGTTGAAAACTCCGAATCCAGCACGTCGAGTGATTCCACAGTTCAAATGACCTCTCTTCTTGATCTTGTCGAGAGTTCCACCTGGAACGGGGCCTGGTCCCATCACGTCCAAGGAGCCAAAGGGAGTTGAGAAGATCAGGCCCGAGGTGCCAGCATTGATAACGTTCAAGCCACCTCGGGGGATGATGGAACCCAGGTTGCGCTGATACATTTCATCGTAGTTTCCAACTGCAGTGACAGCTGCGGCTAGCATCCCTTCGAAGGCAATACCAAAGTGCGGAATATCCACGAAGCGGTCGTGTGCCATCTTGGAGGTGATGCCTTGTTCATCAGCCGTGAAGAGTGCCTGGAGGACCCAATTGACAAAGTCTGGTAGAAAGGCGTGCGGGAAAAGACGGGATGTGAGCGGTCTGCTGTCATCATGATGGTGCCGTGCATGTAGTTCTTTCACTTACCAGAAACCGCGCATCGTCATCACGTGTGACAATAGCCAGAGGTTCGCGGGTGTGTTGACTGCTTCCCATGTGATACTTGGAAGTGTCGAGATGACTGGCTACCACGACGTCCCCGGCAATGACATTACAGTCTCCGTTTTCGAGACCATCCGTGAGAACCTTTGCTCCTCCACTCAGTTCAACCACGTTGTTCTCGGGGAAGCTCTTGAGCAAGAAATCCAAAATGGTAGTACCACGATGGGCACAGATCTTGAGGCCAGCACAGTTGCGGTTGGAAGTATCCAGGTTGTCAGCGCAGTTTACGTATTCTTCAACGCCCCCGAATCGAAGGCCATCGTAGAAGTAAGGCACGCTAAAGGAGAAACCCGCACCAGATTCCTCGTGATGGATATCCCTTTCAGCCGTGTGTGTAGTGATGGCTGCAAGCATGTCGTACTTCTTCTCTGCCAAAGGTTCAAGCCAATGACCAGTATGGCTGCTCCCGATGAACTCAAAGTGTACAAAGTCGTCAACGTTCTTGGGAGGATCCTCTGCGTCTGTCAAGAAGACTGCAGCAGTCACTGCTCGACAGAGATCCGCATCAAAGCCCGAGTAAACGCCGCCTTCGCTAACCTCACCGAAACCTTTGACATTCGAGATTCCACAGTTCAGCTTGCCACGGTTCACAATCTCATACAAGGAAGTAGATCCTTCCAGCTCCATCAAAACTGCAGGAGGAGATGTGGAAGTGGTATTTTAAAATAGCTGTAACGGTACCATCAGGGCCGACGTTGGAGGCAGCCGAGGAGGTGCTTTTGCCTTTGTTGGCAGAGGTGCTGCTGGCGTCGTTGTCGTTGCTGTTGGCAATGGCAACTGAACCTACTACCAGTGCAGCAACAGATACGTAGCCCAAGATTACCAATCCCAAGGTACGAAGATTACGTCTGGTCTGACGTCTGGTCTGGGAGGGAGCGGCTGATGGCTCTTGCTTGGAATCTTCTAGACTCTCCGGGTCTGTCATGGTGGGATCGCAGTCTTCGGTCGTTGGGTCTTCAGTTGGTTTCATCATGATTCTTGATCGTTGCTTTTCCTTGCTGCGCTTCAAAGTTTTGTGTGATGGATGAGGCATCGTCTTTGCCTTCGTCGATGCATGAGCCAAAGATGCTCATGTTGCCTGTTGATGTGCTGTGATTTCGACTGTGTTGCTCTTTGAAACACAATGGAGATCCCGAGGTGCTGGAGCAGCACATGAGCAAGATTTATTTACTGTTTTAAAAGACTTAACCAACTAACTCCCACTATTAAGGGCCCACAATCGATGAAACCACACCGTCGAGATCCGACCTAGCTGTTGAGGGAGACGAAGAGACCATGCAGTTCATGGCTTCAGCGCCACATCTAGCTAGTTCCTTTTATCAGCAGCTCGCGCTTAGACCTAGACCTACGTACGTGTAGCTGGTCTATCGGGTAGGTTGGTTGCCTAGAAGATGAGCAAAACAAAAAGAAAGCTACGAGGGTCAAACTACAATATGGGATTGAATGGCCACCTCGGAGCTAAGAGTCCTTGAAGTGATTTGGGTATCTCTCTTAGCTAAATATACGTGTGCTGCCATCTATCTTTCTCTCTATGTGTTATCGATGCCCAACCATTGAAAGATAGGCCATCCAAGCGACCAAAACACAGTTCGAAAAGAGGACTCGAGTGTGTGGTGGCAGTACCAAAAAATTGAAGGATTGTGCCGTTCCCCATACTTTGACGGATTGTGTTTGTGTCTCCCACAAATCCTTTTCCAGTTTGGCGTACCATTCCCTCCAGAACGTAGAGGATGCCTCATGCTGCTGAAATTGAAGTGTTGCTGTGGGGGGTTGGAACAGTGGATCGGATAAATTTGGTAATTGTAGTTGTTCTTGTTGGACAAGACGGTCTTTCATAATGAGCCACCCGTAAAAGCCACAATTCATCGTAGGTGCAAACAATCCGAGGTGGACCGTCAGCTTTTTGGCCAACATCCAGAGGCTGCCAGCATTGACCTGCATCGGCGGAAGGGGAAACGTTCGGTCCAACCATCGAAACCAATAGACTGCCGGTGCCGCAGTGATCAAGCCATAACCGCGACGGTACAAGACGCTCCCACTTGATGTTGGCGGGTGGTGGACTGCTGCTTTTGTTCTATTGTTTGCGCCGCTATGTCGCCCACAAAATTGATGCACAGGGCCGTCGCCGCGTTCGTCCGAATCGGATGCGTCTTCAGTGCTTCCAGATACCTTGCCCACATGATTGAGCTTCCTTTGTTGTTGAAGTTTCTGCTTTGCTTTCCCGTTTCCCGTGGCAGTTCCACTCCACTCCTCACTCCTCTTTGCCCTCAACTACCAGCTAGCAAGCTGAGGGCCTTTTGAACTTTATCTTGTGTGTGTGTGTGTGTGTAGGTGTGTGTACGTTGAGTGTTGTGTGAGATGTGTGATGTTGTGTGAGATGTGTGTAGACACTACTAAGAGTTAATCTACGACGAATCTACCATTGGATGTTTATCCATGGGGTATACCGTTGCTTGCTGATTTCCAAATTCTGAGCTTAGGAATTTCGCTGTTTGCTACTCCGCGGCAAAAATGCGGACAGATGCATATTTGAGGAATTCTGTGGAACGTCCGGGAATACCTCACTTTTTGAATGACGTTTTGGATCTCTCCCACAGAATGCAACTCTCCGTGTCAAGAAAAGGGCTGATGGATGCTGCTTGTTCCTGCACAGCACCAAACCTCATTATTGAAGCATCAAGTTGCCTGGCAAAGGTACCTTATCAGTTTAACCAATAGAGACCCAATAGCAACACTACAAGATAGTGGATATACCAGTTTGACGTGCCCGTCGCAGTGGTGGTAGTGGCTTGTTTGTTTGGTGGTCGTGTGGGTGACAAAGGACTAGCCAAGTCTGCAGCCCATTTTACACCAATTATTGGCACCACCACAGGTTTGCTCAATTTGTACACCCTTGTTAGCTTTGATACAGCATTTATTACAGCGATGTATACACCCATGCGACCAAGCAAGCCAGGGGGGGCTAAAGCTGTTGTTCCTGCTGTCAGAGTTACTGTAATTGATACCAAAATTGACTCCTGCATTGCCATTGCAGAGAGAGCTGAAGGGCTTGTGGAAACCTCCAAGGCAATGAAAGAAATCCAAAGTGTGCTTCTTGACCGTTCAGCCTCAAATTCGAAGAAAAGAAAGTCTGCTCAAGATCTATCTAAGCTGAGTACCTACTTGGATCAAGAAAATCTCAAACAACGAAAGGATGTTCAAGCATTGGCGCCCATCCCAGGATTTAACAAGGGATACCAGCGACTTGCCACCGCCAACAGGCGAGCTTATAGAAAGCAAGCACCTGCTTCATCTGTTGATAGAGTGGCATCTTTAATTGACAATGGAATAGAGGAAGAAGAGTCTACGACCCCACCCGAAAAACCGAAAGCTCGCGATACACCAAAAGTGCTTACTGTCGCTGAACCACTGCTTCCAGTTCCAGCCAATGGTGAAATGTACAGTCGCCATGAGTGCATTCAGGCAATCGAAAATAGAGAATACACTCTCACCAAGAGCAAAGCTGTACAAGAGATTCTTACAAAGAAGTACATTCCTGTTAAGAGGACTGCCCTTTACCAAATGCTGAATAGGTGGGAAACCCACAAGTCTAATGGTGGTACTTTGGAAACGTTTCCTAATGACGATTGGAACAACCGTGGCAGACCAGCTTTCCTTGTAATTGATGAAATAAAGGATATTGCTCAAGAGCTCTCAACTACTCCTGGCAAAGCTATTGGATTGGACGAGCTGAACGACAAACTTATCGAACGGAGCAAGGAAAAGATCGAAGCCCAAGGAAAGGTTCTGTTGTCGGAGTCGGCGGCTACCCCTTCCAAAGATACACTTCGACGTTATGGAACTCAATTGAGGTTGCTTGGTGGCGTTAGTTGTCCAAGTAGCGCGATCAAGAAGACACGAACTCGGGCTATTGCAGAGGCTTCACTTCGATCCAGTGCCGCTTTTATTGCCGTTGCAGCAGTGTCACACTTGACTATTACTGGTAACATCGAGGAGCACCCGCATGTTGAAAAATTCCTCAAAGAAGCTCCTGAATCAGAGCGACTCGTCTATGAGGCGGTCAGTGACTTCTTTGGTGGAGTCCCTTTGTATCCTATCAAATCAAGATACTTGATTTCAACAGATGATACGACTGAGTGGGCAATGGAGGGTCTCAATAAAGACAGAGCCAACGATGTTTTCTTTACTGCCATCTCCTCTTATCAAACCAAAACCAGCTCTCGATCGTTGTATAATACTGGTCCCGCTCCAGCATTTCCAAATTTCAACCGCATGATCCGCACTTGTCGAGATGAGATTGATGTTGATTTATACAATCTCGTCAAATCCAGCTTACCCAGATTGATTCAGGAAGTACATGAACATGGACATGTGGCGGAAACCGTTCTCGATGAACTTGACTTCCCAATGGATACAGATCAAAAGGGAGTGAAGGTTCCCAAACATCAGGGAATCAGCCGAGAGCATGAGCAACGGGCCAAATGTTTGAGCCATGAATATCAAGCTCAGCTACGAGCAAATAGATTGATCCAGGCACAGGCAAAACAACAGCACGCCTTTGACAAACTGGTGGATGTTTACACAGGAATATTGAAACTGAATGAACGGTGTGAGGCACGGTTGCATGGAATTCTTGAATCGGTTCCAGAGCCCAATGGCATTGCCGCTGCGGAACTTCATCATTTTGACAAATGTGTCATTCCCGAGTTGGAAGCATTCTGCCATGTACGTACATTTTCTACTACCAAGAAACCCAACAAATTCAAATGGCCTAGGAAGGGAAAGTCCACTGATTTGAAGCCAGATGAGAAGTGCCTAGTTGAGCTTGCTTTTGAATGCAAAGCAAATCCTATTATTATCACAGAGCCAAAAAAGCAACAAAAGGAATCTACATCTTCTGAGCCCAGATACGTTTTGGCGGCAATTCTTCGGCCAGAAAGTTCTAGCCTTGGATCCGGCAATGCTAAGCTAGCATCAGCTTTACTTGACAATTCTGAGTGGAGAGGTTTGGCTTTAGCAATTTATTGTCTAGATGGGGAACATTTACCGGTTGACAAACGTCCCATAATCGATCAAGCCCTCCTCGATAGGGCAGACTATTTGCAGAAGCTTCTCAAAATGAGGTTGGCAGTTCATGTGTCCAGTAGCAAAGTGCCAGAGCTATTGCATGACCATTGGTGTTGGCATTTGCAGCATGACAAGGCTGGTCACACGGCGGCCGTTATGGTATTTTTGGGACATGTCAAAACTGATCTCCATTGTCTCAATGCTTTTGACTGTCTTCTCTCTGATCATACCAACTTTAGATTGGTAGATGATGAAATTTATGAGGATGGAGTTTATGGTTACTACGACAAAATCAGACACGAATGGCGGCGATTCGGAATGACCGCGGGAAGAAAGCACTGGATGAGAGGCATGGACCACTATGGCAATGCTAGGCTAAAGAGTGCAGCTTCTAGGAACTCGAGTTTCTACATGGCTTATCCATCAATTGAAGTACCTGAAGACGAAAGACCAGCTGCTCGGCAAGGCTTCTTTGAAGAGAACTTGGAGCATCGTATTGCTCTTGGCGTTCCAATCCCGTTGGACGGACGGGAATCAAGGGATATGTCATTCAAACTGATTGAGCTATATGGCTTCAACTCTCAAGATATTGACAATTTCAGTACAATCAACCGAGACTTATGTGTGTATGGACAGCTACGCAGAGCTGCCCACTATATGGCGGAGTGTGCCTACGGACTTTGCTTAGCTAGGGACCAAAATCTCTCTAGCAATCCTGGCTGGGAGCAGGCACTAAAATATTATGGAGCTTAGATGTTAGATTGACAGTAATTTTACTAACATTACTGTTTTGTTATCTAGCTAGGTTGCATTGATATCCAAGTTAACTACTACGTCTGCAGCTAGCTAGCTGGGCACTGACAGCTATCTACTGTAAGCACGCCACGGAAAGTTCTTAAAACCAGGGTTCTAAGCAGTAACATCTATCTTATGGCCAAGGTGTACTATCGTACATGCTAGCTTTCTGCGTCGCTGCGCAAAACGTCAGCCTGTACATCGTTTTCTTAAAACTAAGTAGTAAATGCGAACGGTCCGCATTTGTGCTGCGGAGTAGTTTGCTTCATCAGTGGAGCAAGCTGGGGATGGCAAAAGATACAAGCCGGGTAGGCTGTGAGAAAAGCAAGGGTACCCTGTTTGTGGTGATTTCGAAAATAGACACATAGGAGCTGGTACGGTATAGACCGAGACCAAGCTAAACTAAACCGTAAATCCAATACCTCGATGGGACTGGTTGTGTGTGGGTGTGTGTGTGTGTGGGTGGTGTGGGGTGTGTGGGTGTGTGGGTGTTGTG